AAACTTGTGCTCTTTAGCACTGATTTAAGAAAACAAATTAACCACTAACCATGTATTCACTAAAGCAGTAAATTAAGATTTAGCGTTTGAAATTTACGTTTGGCATATAAATTTCATGCTTGAACTGCTACGATGGCTTGTAGTCGTTAAAATATGAAATTTATACGCCGAACGTAAACTTCAAACGCTAAATCCTAATTTACTGCTTTGGTGAATACATGACTAGTGGTTAATTTGCTTCATTGCTTTCGCACTTTCAAAAGTCTTTTGCAGACTAGTGAAAATGTCGTAAGCGAGTCGTCAGCAGTTTTAAATTAACCGAAAAATCTTATATTTTAAAACAAATTAAAAATTCTAAATTAATTTATTTTATCCAAAACTTCGAGAGTGTTGGAGTTATTGCTGCCGAAGGCAGCACACTATTCTTAACATGAAGTATAATTGCGTTTACGTGTGCCCAGTCTCTTTGGCCGAGTTATATATAGCCGAACAACAACTCGATTTTGTTGACGGATGTACGGATTTTCAGTTTATGACGATTTTTGACGTCACAGAAGTTTTAAAAAATAACATACTCGAGATCGCGATTTCACTTTCCGAATACCCCGGTTCAGACTCACGAACACCACCATGAACGATTACAATTTGTAGCCTAAACATGTGCCTCGTTGCCTGTTGCAATTTGCAAATTTATGTCTGGCTGTTTATCGAAATATTTTTCTTGCATCTGGCCGTTTATCGAAAATATTTTTCAAGGTAAGATGAAAGTTTGATCACAAATAACAATGTGTTTTGGTCGAATGAATCAACTGTATTTTTATTAAATTTTAATTTAGGTGCCATACAAGTATACAACTCTTCATATATTAATACTATAAAACAAGTGGAGTAAAAAATCCAAGTGGAGCAAAAAATGTTTGAGCTTGATAGAACATCGTACATCAAGGTATAAATAATCACAGTGATAGTGTATTATAATATTGTTATTATGGGAATATCAAATGAGCAGTATCGTGCCCGCATTGGAACACATAAACATGTATACGAATGAAAAAATATATGACTTGTAGAAAGATATTCCTATAGCAACCCAGTGTGGATTGTTGTCTGCACATATTAACTTACCAGCAGTTACATGTAATAACATGTCAACCGACATTTGTCAAAAGGTATCACGGTCTGTACAAATATATCCCTGAGATGTATGTCTACTGTTACTTGTTAGATATATTCACCTGGCTGTGTCACTACAGTTCAGGGTATACTATATTTTTTTATAATGCTCACAATTTCTTGTATTATATAGTTTTGCAGTTCTGACTGTGTGCAATCTTGATCATTACAAATGAATGATGTCATCAGAAACTGACAAATGAAACAAAACTGTCAACAAACAGATTTTGTCTCCCCATCAGGCATTGCCGCATCAGCAGATTGTTCAGTTGTTTTGCAATTTAGGGATCTGGGTCGTAGCAACAATAATTTGTAAACTAGCAATAATTACCCCAGACTAATCAGCCCTCCAATATAAAATTGCTTCCAATGGTAGTGTGGATAGCTTTGAAGGTAACCTGAGATCAGGCTCTATTTTACAAATATACCCTGACACAAACCTTAATCCGATAGTTTTCCACCTATTTGCAGCAAAGTTTATATTTATTATCCAATCAAAATGTTGCAGGAGAAATTTAAATTTCACACAAGGTCAACAACAATCTAATTATAGTTGTGATCACTATAAACAACAATATAATATAATTAGCACCAACCAATCAAATGACAGATTAAAAAATCTTTTTGTCTCATATACCAATCAGATTTACACCCGAAAAACGATTGTAAGGCATGATCTTTTGTTAAAGACGATGTAAAGTCTGTAATGTAAACAAACGCTTTGTTTACATTTTGAACTCAGTGCTACAGTTACAAAATATGATTAGATATATATTATACTAAATTTTTAACACTCTTCTGGTTCGCTATACTTGTAAATGAATACAGACTAGAGATTCAATTCAAGAAAGTTCAAAGCATACAAAATATTAATAACATTCCAACGGTCGGGTCCCAACTATTGGAATGTAAGCCTGCACAGAACGTATGCACAGAACGGATTTTACATGGTCTTTAAGGTTTATACTGTATCAGGCCTATTTATTTATTTATATGTCTGATCACAGATGAACCTACGACCTAGCTTCACCACTGACTGTATTAGAATTAGAATAGGTAATTAGAATAGTTAGCTGACTTTTGACATTGTGCAAGATGTTTGGTATTCGAATTGCACCTTTCTACTTCCTGAACATGCGTTTTAGGGGCTGTTTACATGATGGGAGGTGGGGTGATTTTTGATGTATTGAAATAATGAAGTTTTTTGCTGAATTGTGCGCTGTGACTGATTTCAATATATCGAAATTATTCCGCTTAATATCTCGTCCTGGCAAAGCGGGATCATAAAAACAGCTCCTTATTCAGCAAATTGCGCATGCTGCCTTTCATCCGTTGGCGGTGAGGCAGCATTTCCTTGCGTTAGTAACTTCTAGTTTTATGCTATATAATTGTAATAACACTGAGTATAAAATAGATATGGATTTATATTTTTACTCATGATGGTTTTCCATGAATGTTTGTGTTTTATACAATAAGATGTGCAAGATTAATCTGTTCTGGGACTAATGTTTAATTATTTGATGTATAAAAAGTCTAGGAGACAGGTCTTAAGTTCTCTAGTAAGTCTAGGCTATACTGGTTACGACGTCCAAAAATTATGCAATTATGATCGACTACAAATATACTTAATTAATTAAACTACAACATGATATTAAACCGAAATTTCGCTCGTTTTATTTATCGTTGTTTAGTTCATGTTTGATAATGACAACAAAAAAGCTAAAACAACTTATTCAGTTGAAACAACGCTAAAAACGGGGTCAAATGAAGTTAATTTCACAATTTTCTAAAATTTGTTTTTATTACAGCGTTGTTGCTATGCAGGTTGCTAAGACATAGAGCGATGTTAAGTCACAGATGATAGATATCATCTGTGGTTAAGTTAAGATTGACTACCGCTGACCGTGTAGTGCAGGAAATTGCTTACCAGACCCCGCATCACACGTCGATCAGCGAAATCACTGGCGTTGCGCCTATATCAATAAGCGCTCTGATGGTAAAACATAACTTTAGCACTTCTACATTGTGTTTTTTGTTCTCTCATCATATTAAAACGAGTTAATTCCGCGAAAATTCATTAAATTCGTGACTCAATTTTGTCCGCAAAACTATGTGGGATGACGGCGCCAGGCCCACGTCACAAAAAGTGCCATAACGACCACTGTTTTCGGTAAATTGGAATAAGCCTTTATATTATATTTAATATACACGCGGGTCGGGTAAAAATTGAGAAAATCAACAGCTTGTTCCTGCAGGTTGATCAACAGGCGTGAACAAGGTTGTGCGGCCCACTATGAACAGTATTGTCAACATGTTGTTACAGCATTGTTCAACTGTAACAACTAATTGGAACAACATCGTCATGGTTAACAACTTGTACATAGTTGGCCGCATAACATTGTTCACACCTGCCGATATGGACTTGGAATAACCTGTGCGTTTTTAGCCGTATAGGAAAAGCGCGTTTTAGTGTATTGAAAGGCGAATATCTCCGTTCCAGTTCTTGAGGGCAGAATCGAACCTGCCTCTTCCGCAGGCCCTCGTTGTGTCATGGGAAGGTCGCGATTTCGAGAGGGCATGCGGAATCTTGTAAAATGAATAAATGTTGTTTCGAATCGGCTTCGTTAAAGAAGGCAGTTTTATTCGTGCAACGTTGGTGTGGACAACAAACCTTATCGTTAAAAAATGCTTCCTTCCACGTCCTAAGAGTCGCCAGTTTAATTTACAAGTTTCACGCCGCTTTTTTATATCCTGTTTATATTCAAGATTATCTAGAAATTTACTTGCTGACGTGACGCCTGCACCATTTTTTTTACAAGATTCCGCAGGCCCTCGCCAGATCGTGACCTTGCCATGACGTAAGGAGGGCCTGCGGAGGAGGCAGCAATCGAACCACTCATCACTATATGCGAAAGCAAATTCGCATACCAAAGACCAAGTTGTTATTTTGTGTTTTCAGCCTGATTCATTATTTTGAAAATTGTGTTTATTGCGTTTTTTGTTATGGTGAGCTACAAGGTGGGGCTGTGCCCTGGACATCCGCGAGCAGTAATTATCTAATCAGAATCCAGTGTTTCTTAGCTCAGGAGCATGCAACACGCGTGTAACCTAATATGTTTTTACGCAAAGGGCACAGTTGCTTGGTAACAGTCCAGTGATGTGACAAAATTGTGTAACATTAGGCTGCGACTCTTGCTTTACATCAGAAAGCTTAAGATATCAAATATTTTGAACTATTTAACAAATTTAACTAAATGGAAGCGATGTGTTATAAACTCGGCGTAACTATAAGGCATATTTTTTCCAAGCAAAAAGTATAAGACTTATTTTCATAATTTTGGGGATCTTTTTGGTCATGTCATGCAGCATGTGTACATGACTGTAGAATAGACTGAATGATGATTTATTACAAATGTCAATCAACGTTTGTTACATGCTTAGAAGTTAATCATTAACCTCTATTTTTTAACTGAATGTCAACCACTTAATAAAATGTCCTTGCCTTGTGTTCATGCTTATGTAAATCAAAGTTGTCTGATGTCTCTATAATTTAAACGTTTATATCGTTTTACTGTTTATAAGATCAAGTCTGGTACTGATATCGTATTACCGGTCTTTTCATTCTTGTTGATCTCCTTATACTTGGTTCTTGCCTTGATGGTTCCTCTGTTTCCGTCGATCTTCCCGGTGCTGTATCATCCTACTCCTCCTCCCTTTCCTCCATTACTACCTTCTTAAAGTGTGAAACGTTTCTTGTCACCGTCTTACCATCTTTTTTAGCTATGATGGTGTTGAACTTGCGTTGTTCTACCGTATAATGTTCTGGGTCAAATGACGATGTCACCCTTTTTGATACCAGCTTCCTTCGTCCTTTTGTTTCTGTCGTAGTACTCTTTGTTCTCTTCTTTCTTCTGCTCCAAATTCTGCTTCGCCCTCTTGTGTCTATTAACTACTTTTTTCTTTGTGAGTTCTGGTAAATATCCCCGAATTTGTCTGTTAAAAAGTAGTTCACACGGAGAGACTTTAGTAGTTTGATGAGGAGTTGAACGGTATTGAAGTAGAAACCTTTGCAGTTCTTGCTTCCAATTCTTTCCTTCAATTCTGCTGTTTTCAAGAGTTTTGCAATTGGTTTCATAAATCTTTCTACGACGGCATTATCCTGGGGCCATAGTGGTGTAATTGTTTTTTATTCAATACCAAGGGTTTTAGCGTATGTTTCAAATTCTTTCTCATTAAATGGGGTCCATTGTCAGTTTTTATTTTTGATGGTATTCCATATCTGGCAAATATCGTATCTAATTTTGGTATGCAAGTTTTTGCTTCGGTTGAGTTGACTATTTCTACCTCTGGGAATTTTGAGTAGGTATCGATAACCACTAGCAGGAATATATTGACCAGTTCGGGGTACTGGACCATAGAAGTCGATTGCCAACCTCCGTCGCAGAGACTTTCCACCTGCTGGGAAAGACCCTGCTATCGGCTGGTCACGTGTCTCCCAGAATCTGGGAGATAACAAAATATTTCAATTAGGGTGGGTAACTAAGTACGTTTTGTCATTGAGCAAGGAGTGAGCGAAGAAATATCCCAGAAATCATGCAGGAAATATTTACAAAATTGTATATTTTATTTGTCATGAATACTATCAATGTTACACAATAGTAAATATCAGATTTTATTGTGCGCAGAATGTCGGTGAGCAAAGATAGATCAGATTTCAATTGACAAATTACGCCGAATGATACAGCTCGTCGAAGAATGTTGACGTTGCAAACGTTACAAGAAAATATATTTCTACACTGGTACCGACCTATGTAGCTGTTATTTAGCTGTTGATGTCTATTCTAAAGGATTTATTTAATACTGAGATATGTAACGAAATAATTATAGAGATCTTTTGATTTCTGAAATATTGCAAACTATGTTGCTTGTAAACAATGCTGCTCGGACTGTTGAAACTTCAGAACGATCCTCATTCCTCAGAGATACGAAAAACCAGAATCTGTTGAAACTTGATGATCAAGAAATATGTCGAAGTATACCTCCCTGTTATCAAACCTACGGTAAAATAATCCGCGGACAATAGCCTAATCAAAGATAAGTCAAAGACACGTCTGTGCGTGTATGTTTTAAATACGAATACTGTATATGTTTGACATTTAGGACATTTTATAGAGAATGCAGTCCGCATGATAAATTTGATAAATTATACCTTTAATTGTGACATTAGCTTTACTGTAATGAAATTACTTTACTGTAATGAAGTAATTTGTGAAAAATGTATTGAAAATTGGAACATTATGGTATACGAGGAACAGCAAAAATATGGTTTGAAAATTATCTATATAATAGAAAACAATATGTAAAATATAACGGAGTACAATCTGAAGAAATGACTATCACAAGCGGTGTGCCACAAGGATCAGTTTTAGGTCCTGTATTATTTCTCTTATACATAAATGATATTCAATATTGCAGTAAATTGGTTTGAATTATATTATTTGCCGATGACACTAACATACTGTATAGCGATGTTTGTCTCAAAACTTTAAACGAAACTATTCAAGTTGAAATGAACAAAATTACAGATTGGTTGAATGTTAATAAATTATCTATAAACACTGCGAAAACCAAGCTGATCCTTTTCAGATCAAAAAATAAGAAACCTAAATGTGATTTAAGAATTTCTATAAATAGCGAAACTATAAAACAAGTAAAAAAAACTACGTTTTTAGGGATTGTTATAGATGAATTTTTATCATGGTGCGATCATATAGATCTTATTTCAAAAAAAATATCAAATGTACAGCTATTATATCCAGAATACGACATTTTACAAACCTAAATTCCTTAAAACTGATCTATTACGCATTGGTCTATCCATATCTTATATACTGTAATTTAGTTTGGGGTAACGCTTACAAATCCCACATTCAAAAATTAGTAAATATCCAGAAAAAGATAGTAAGATTAATGACCTTCAAATCCTATTTTGACCATACTGAACCAATTTTTAATGACCTTAAAATACTAAACTTGTATAAATTGAATGACTTCTTAACAAGTCTATTTATGTTCCGATATTTTCATCTACAAAATCTTCCAGAAATTTTTGATAAATATTTTTTAACTAACAAAGAAATCCATAATTACAACACAAGAAACGCATCATTGCTCCACAAAAGTTGTACTAGAACAAATTATAAAAAACACACGCTCGGTAATAACGGCATCGATGTGTGGAATAATCTTCCGACGCAATATAAGCAAATTAGATCTCTTCCAATATTTAAATCTACAATGAAAATATATTTTCTTCTGTCAAATTTAAATAAGTAGAATTCTTGGCACAAAGTCAAAAGCTAAATAATTGTTATAGTCTGATATATCTTTTACGCACTTTCCTTATTGTAAATATATCACCGTAATTCCTTTGAAAACAATTGGACTGGTGTTAACTTTTAATATTATATTATTTGAATTGTAACTGGGGACCTTAAACAAAAGCCTTATGGTTTCTAGAAGGTTCCTAGCCCTACTATTGTAAATATTTTCTATTTAAATTGTTAATTTTATAAACTGATTTGGGCGAATATATATTAAAGTATTAAAGTGTTATATCTGTGGTGGGTACATTATATGATTGCATGTGCATATCAGACCGAGTGATATCAGTGTTTATGCCGTGGTTTATTCCGTGGTTTATGGAATTATCTATGACTATGTTCATATTATAAAATGTGTACTGAATATCAGAAAAATACTGTTATAAATATTGCTGTTACCCCATTACTTAGTGCATGGAGGCAAAAAAATTGTCAGGCTAAAGCCGTTATTGTATATACCACCTGATATACGCCCTGAGGCTGAAAATTGTTGTACTTTGCAACCTGCCGATCTCCTACCATACAGATCTACAGGGTTTTTTAATAAATATGATGAAATATTTAAAAGTATTTTCAAAGATAAACCATTGACAGTTTTAAAGTGAGCATTTAGTCTCTGTTCGGCAGTGTACACATGTTTACATTGTGATTTGTGACAAAAAGTTAATTACATTTCAAAATTTTATCACCCTTCACTAAATGAGACGCGTACTATTAGTAAATGTGCACAAAGTTTATCAACGTTTTCAAACAACAAATCTAATGGCATATTTTAGGAACAGATTAAAGTGAAAATGTACAAACGTCGACGACTGACCAGTTGATATGAAAATACGTTTGTGAGAGAATACCCAACTTCAAAGTTTAAAGTATACATTTTATTTGTTTCTCGACTTGACTGTTAATAAAAGGCTACAGTGTTTTTGTAATTTAGAAGCAAACAGAGGTATGAAATAGAAGTTAGCGGGCGCTTCGAACTATATATCGTAAAATCCAACTCCTAGTATTTGAAATCTAACGTTTTCTGTGGAAGCATGTAATTTGATACTTTGCCAGTCCCCCTTGGGCAATTAATTTTGGTTGAGTCACGTGACCAGCCGATACCAGGGTCTTTCCCAAAAAGACCCTGGGTACGAGGATGGTCGATTGCTACACTAGTCCATGGTTTGTCTTCGGTTGGTGTTATTTTCATTGGCTCCGGGTTATTACCGTGACCTATACTGATTGGCAAGGAATGCATTTGTCTACCATTTCTTTCACTCGCTTGTCCATATTTGGGTACCAGATCTTTTCGCGTAGTAGGCTTTTCGTTTACTCGATTCTCTGATGCCCGATATGACCTAATTTTGTTGCTCTTTCTTGTAATGTTGTTGGAATGACCAGCCGTGTGTTCTTCAACAGTATACCTGCTGATGCATTGTACGTAAGTTCGTCAGCGCAAACTCTAAACGGTTTAAGATTAGGATCGTTCTCATCCCATTTTCCCTCTTTCAGACATTTCTTAACTTTTTGTAATACTGGTATATTTAAGGGTTGCTTTTTTATCTCGTCAAGTGTCATTGACTTTGGAACTGAACAGTTAGTTACATAGTTCACATATTCTTCTGCTGATGTACTAGTTATTTGTTCTCTCTCTATGACAGCTGGATGTCTACTTTTAAGTAGTCAGCGCTTCGTTTAAGGATCCTTTGCGGTAAATGACTTTGAAGTTAAATGGTTGTAATCGCATCATCCATCTCTCGATGCGGGCTGCTGGTCTGGATCTTGGGTTATTGAATACAGATTCTAATGCTTTATGATCAGTTATCACATATCGAATTCTGATCCAATCAAGAACATTCGAAAATGCTCAATTCCCCATACTAAGCTAAGTCCTTCAATATCTGTTTGAGAGTATCTTGTCTCAACTGGGCTGAGTGCTCTGCTTGCATATGAAAGGATTTTGTACTGCTGGCTGTGATGTTCTTTCTGTGCTAGTATTGCACCAATTCCATAAGGGGAGCCATCTACGATTACCAGACTTCGTTTCTTTGTATCGAAATATGCCATAACTGGGGGTACTTGTTAGTTTCTTTTTCAGTTGCTCAAATGCTTTCTGATGTCTGTTTTCCCACTTAAACGCAATGTTTTTCTTGGTTAGTTCTCTTAGAGGTGCTGTAATAGTTGCATAATCTGGAATGTATTCGTGACAAGTGTTGGCCATTCCCAGAAAACTTCTAACTTCTCCACCAGTTTTCCATCAATTCTCTCTGGATCTGGTTTGGTTCCTGCTGCTGTAAATTTTAATCCAAAGAACGTAATTTCGTCTTGTAGAAATTCACATTTCCCCCTTTCACTTCCAAGTTTAGTGCTGCTAGCCGTTTTAGACAGTTCTCTGGTGCTTCATCATGTGACTTTTGGGTTTTACCACGAATAATAATATCATCCACCAGGTTTTTCACTCCTCTGATATCGCTAAGGTTTTGTTGTAGCACATTTTGGAATATCTCGGCTGCACTGTTAGTACCGTAATTTAATCTTTTATACTGGAACAGTCCTTCATGGGTATAGAAAACGTTATAATGAATCGACTGTCCGGGTGTAAGTCGAGCTGGTGATATGCTTGCTTTAGGTCAATCTTTGAGAATAATTTTGCTCCATTTACCTCAGCTTTAAAATCTTGTGAAGTTGGCATGTGTGTCTCTCTCTTTCGATTGCCTGGTTTGCTTCCCTCATGTCTACACATAGTCTACTTTCTTTGGCGTGACGACTATTGGAGATATCCATGGTGTTGGTTGATTGGCGACTTTCTCGACAATGTCTTGCTCTTCTTGTTCCTTAGAGACATCATTTCTCACATGATATGGTATACGTCTTTGCCGCTGCATAACTGATTTGACATCGTCTCGGAAATGAAGTTTAATTTGTTGATGTTTAATTTTCCTTGCCCCTTGAAAACTGTACTATATTTGTTTATGATTTCTTGTATTTTGGGGTCTTTTGATTGAGGAACACTTGTGTTGATTTCTGGATTGGTCTCGCATGCGGTGCCGTGTGTATTGTTTTGATTTGTCTTTGTTTGTTTATTTTGTTCAGGAAAACCAGAAATTGTGTTAATTAGCTTGACCAAGGCCAAATCTTGGGCTGTTTTAGCACTTAGTAAATTACCTGCTGCATGCACCGTCCATTACATATATTTGCGACACGGTATAACGCTTTTTCGATTCGAGTGTTGCTTGAAATTGTCCGTTTAGAGGCAGAGGTGTGTGAAATCCATATGCGTAGATTTTAGTTGAACTTTTACGTAATGAACTTTTTCTCTTTAATTTCGCGTATTTCGTAGAATCAATGATGTCAACAGTCGCGCCAGTGTCAACCAAAATAAAACGTCCTGTCCATTTATTTTTACGGTCGCGTGTGTTTTCTCCCTCGTTTCTTGTGATACTGTGTAAACATAATCCTCTTCTTCCGAGCTTTCAGTATTTGGTTCGCTTTGTGACATTCCGACAGCCTTTGCTTGTTGTTTTCGTTGTTTATTCTCATCCCATCGTGATTGGCGCCTTTTTTCTGGGGAGGTAAAACCTTGTGTTTGTAATTTCTCAAGGTTTCCCTTACTTGCGAAAGATTTTCCTCGTGTTTGACATACTATAGCAAAGTGTCCCTTTATTCCGCAGTGGTTACAAATAGCAGACTTCGCTGGGCACGGTTGATTGTCGTGTGGATACTTGAAACCGCAGTAATAACACTTTTTCTCAGTGAGCGTTGCCATAGCCGTTGCATTTATATTTTCCCTTGTTTTGAATTGTTCTTCGATCCCAACGACTTGAGCAGAACTAGTTTCGTATTTTCGTCCATCGATTAACATGTTTGCCAAACTATATTTTGGGTCTTTTAGTGCTTTCTTTCGTAATCTTGAAGAAGTGCCGTTCGTAACAATCTGCATCTTAATTTCATAATCTATGTTTGTAAATTCGCACTATTTTGCCAAGCCTCGTAAACGCGCATGAAATTCGTTGATTGATTCCTCTTTGCCTTGCGTCGCTTGTCTAAAAACATAGGTGCGATATATCACGTTTTTCTCTGGTTCAAAATACTCCGTCAACGCTTTCACTGCTGACTTAAAATCTTTGGTTTCGCCCTCTTCTAGAGTCTTGAAAACTACGTGTACTTCGGGCCCCGCCTGATACAATAATAAAGCTCGCTTTCTCGCATCGTCTTTAATATCTTCGGCAAGTAAATATGTGTTGAATCTCTTGTAGGATCACTCCTTGGTTCAAAAGCAGGCATAGGCTGTATGTTTTGTGCCGCCATTCTAGTTTCCCGTTTTATTTTTCACGCTGTTTATTTTTGTATCCTCGTTGCCATTGTAGAATAGACTGAATGATGATTTATTACAAATGTCAATCAACGTTTGTTACAGGCTTAGAACTAGTTAATTATTAACTTATCGCATCCTACAAATACTACAATGACTAGTATATGCATCATAATCCGCTAGCTACGGATTATACTGTTCAAGATGGCAATCATTTTCTAGTAGCTCGATATGGAAAGTTAATGCATGAGAAGAAGAATCACATAATTAAAACTAAGTTTATTCTATCGTTTATTTAGACTGTTACAAAATTGGAGAGAAAAATCACAGATTTCGAATTAGTGAACAAATCTGCTGATGTTCTCAGATCATCTGCTGGGAATTTATCATCGTTTTTAAAAAAAGAAGTGATAAATCCATGGAGTGTATCACCAGATTCTGTACAAGTTATTAAAGAAGAAAATGTAATTTATGAATATGCTGGTCAGGAGAAATATAATTCAACAAATCTTCTGGGTGTTCTTATTCTTTCATTACTCTTTGGAATTATTTTGAATGGCCTTGGTGAGAAGGGAAAGCCAATAGTGGACTGGTTTAGTTGTTTGTTCGAAGTTGTTATGAAAATAGTTGATATCCTTATATGGTACGTATCGAGCTATTTATTTTATCGTTGACATCTACAAACATTATTCAATTTACCAATTCCAAGCCCTCATGTGTAATGATTTCCAAGCTAAAATAATTAAATATAGTTTAGAAAATAAATAGATAAAATGTTAGCTCACGGTATGTATGACTATATAAATTAAATTAAAAATAATTGCGGTCTATGTCTGTTAATTTGACAAAACTTAGATTTTACTTTGTTTCCACCAGTAATTAATCTATCCGATGGCAAAAATTTTTTCTTCTTTGAAATTCGAGCTTGACGAATATTGAAAAGCAACTCAAGAACATAAGTCTTGCAATCTAATATAATTTTTTAAAACTCCTTTTATAGGTATTCACCCATTGGTATCGGCAGTATAATTGCTAGCAAGTTTGTGGCAATGCAAGATATTAAAGGCACAATAGAAAATCTTGGACTGTATATTGCGACTATGATCATTGCATCATTGGTTTATGGGCTTATCATACTCCCGGCTATATATGCAATTTTATTGAGAAAAAATCCTTATCCACTTCTAAGTTGTATCTCCAAAGCACTTCTTACTGGCTTTGGTACCGCATCAAGGTGAGCTAGCACGTAATAATTGCGTTTACAAGGTTTTGAAGTTATCATTTAAATTAATATCACGCTCCAGCATTAATTATTTATCATCAAATTAATGAAAAATAAGTATATATAATGCCTAATTAACCTACATGCCTAATTAACCTACATGAATTTAATTCGTTACGAATTGGTTCTATTTTTAATGAATAGTTACTATAAAATTATACCAAAAGGTATCCTTTAAATGGTGAAATTTTTTGCATTGTTTCATATTTAGCATTAAAATTAATTTTTACTGGGTCAAGAATAAAGTTTCTCCATAAGACAAACTAATACTATTTAAGATGTATTTGAGTCGAACTGTTTCAAATTATTCCATTATATAAAATATAACATAATTATAGTAACTTTTTTGTTTTATAATGTTTTCAACATTTTATTAAAAAATTGGGGTCGCCCCTTGCCAGATATTTTTCAGTTTGAAGCCGCCCCCAATTCAGGCAAAAATCGGTTAAAGCCGCACCCCTATTCTCACCCAACGCCCCCCCCCCCCATCCCCCTCCCATTATTAATGACCGGTCCCTTAGCTGTATTCTGTTTCGAATACAGTTAATTAAATCATCATTGTAATTATATATTTTCCAAAACATTTTTAGAATACTATTGGTAATCACATATACAATCAAAATGTTTAAAGTTACAAAATATGCCAAAACAAACTTGTCACGGATTGTGATATCAAATCCTGTGACAAATTATACAGCACAATTTTTACTTCACAATTTTCATCTGAAAAGCGCAGGGCTGGGTGCGCAAATTTTAGTACTGCGCGAAATATAATCTTTGTGGTGTAATATGAGACACTCATTGTTATAGTAATGCAAATCAGTTAATTTATTAACGCACATGCACATTTGCCATTAAAAATAAAAAATGTCTTCATCTTCAACCTGGACACAATAAAAAGAGGATCCATTTGAACTTTAGTTAAAATTTGGTTTGACTTATAAAGTATAATATTAGGAAATACCATTTATGAACCTATAATATATGAGAATGCTAGCGAAGATTATTTGTGAATCATACCGATAAATATTTTAGTTCTTGTTGGTATTTTGAACTCATGCTTTATTGTAATCATGAATTTTGCCTACATTACATAATTTTGGAGCCATTTTTTGAGGCCACCTAATCGCTATTGAGAATTATTGAAGTATTTGTTGATAAAAAAACACTCATTATAAATGCGTTAATTGTTAATAGTTCTATTAAACAAACCAAAAAGAACGAACACGGAAAATTACTCGCGGGAATTTAAAGCTGCGCGAGTAAGTCTCAACAAGGTGCGCGAAATTAAATCGCGCGAATTTAAAGCTGAGCGAAAATGGGTACGAGGCGAAATTTAATACAAGTAAGGTATACATGTTAACTTTTACTTGGATTATCCCCCAATCCTAGGATTCTGGTTCTTGTTTTTCGTTATAGATAAAATAGTGCTCAATACTACAAATATTTAGCACAGCGAATTAATTTGTTATATTAAAATGTTTCAATTTATCGCCACTATAAGTTTCATGCCACTATTTGTGACAATCTTCAAGCGATTAAATTCAGTTCGTTATAATGGCGTGATCTATAGTTTGCTGACGTGCACCGTCATCATTCGCGCGCGCTTTAAAAAAACTCTGGATAATGGATGGGAACAAACATGTAACAATGAGCAAAAGACCCGAGATATTCGCAAAATGCCGACATCGCGAGAAATTTTGTCTTGCGTCATCGGTTTGAATTTGCATTTAGCGCGTGCAAATTCAAACCGATGACGCAAGACAAGCCTCCACGTCAGCGACCGACCGTTGATGTTGACAAATCAAACATACACTGAATTAATTGCCTGAAGATCATCTTGAACACAGAGTAGAGACATACAGAGACGTAACTAGTGTACCCACTTCTTTTGAGCGCATGCTCGGCAAGTTACTAGATGCATGCATCTGATTGGATGACGACCTGATCACGACTCACTTTAAACTTGCTGAGCACGCGCAGTTGATCATTTTTTGCCCGGTCGCCTGAAAAAAAGTGGGTACATGAAAACGTAAGCTTCCGCAGTGTTTACAACGGTCAGTTACGTCTCTGTATGTCTCTACTCTGTGTCTTGAATAAGGCGTGAAACTTGAGTAGCAATAATTAATTTTAAGATGTCGTAAGTCGGAACAGATTTGCAGCAGGTCTGTTACAACTTGTTGTCAACAAGCCGATATGTGGATGCGTTCGCTCGCCTTGTATCTGTCTGTCCTGACAGGTCCGCAACGGCTTGTCAACAGTTCTATCACAAGCTGTTGTGACAGAGCTGCAGCAATGCTGTTTTCAACAGGCCTGTCGCAAGTTGTTGACACAGAGCTGCAGCAATGCTGTTTTCACCAACTTGCGACAGACCTGTTGTGAACCGAGAAAAGCGCCTTATGAAGCTTCGTGTATCCACTATATTTTGAACAAAAAATGGCCAAAGAGGTTGAGAAAGTTAAGTGTCTGTTGAAAGGATCTATCCAGTTGAGTTATGAACAAAATTGTATGTTATTTGGTATAGTTCAATGGTATAGTTCAATATATTGATGTCACCTTGAACTGCTGTAATACCTGCACCAGAATGATTGTCATTTATAGACCACCCCCATCGAAGACTAATAAATTAAGCAGCTCAATATTTTTTGAAGAATTCTGCATATTTGTGGAACAGTTGATCATATTACCTGGCAATATGTTAATGGCAGGAGACTTTAATTTTCATATAGACAACATTGGAGATTCAGATACTATTAAATTCAACAAGATACTGGAATCGTTTAATTTACAACAGCACGTCAATGGGCCAACCCACAAGAAAGGCCACACCTTGGACTTGATTATAACAAGGAATGAAGATAAATTAGTGACTGGTATCAGAATACATGATCCAGTAATATCAGATCATCTTGCCATACATTGTACATTACAGTTAGAGAAACCACCATTAGAACAAGCTGAAATTTATTATCGAAAATTAAACAATGTAAACATGGATAGTTTCAATGAAGATCTAAAAGTACTAGATTTAAATGACGATTATGATCTCTCAGTCCTTATTGATAAATATGAAAATACGTTGAAAGAAACATTACAGCAGCATGCTCCACAAAAACGACGAATTATAACTCTTCGTCCTTTATCACCATGGTACAATGAGGAGATTGGTCAAGAAAAACTAGAAATCGCAGAAAACTAGAGCGCCGCTGGCGCGCATCTGGACTATGTATTGACAGAGAGTTATATGTCAAACAATGTGAGACAGTGAATGCCATGATAAAGAATGCTAAGACAACATACTACTCATCGGTTATTTCCAGTAATGCACATAATCAGAAAGTGTTATTTAGTACGGTTGATAAATTACTCCATCGAAAGCCAGAAAAGCGCTATCCAACTGCGTCATCAACGACTGAACTTGTGAATAAATTTTCAGATTTCTTCAATAATAAGATTGCTATTATATGGAAAGAACTAGCCATCGATTCTTCCCACTGTAATCAGCGAAATCAAGAGGAACAATATGCACAATGCGTTAAATTCATTAACTTTCAAGAAGTCACGGAACGTGAGATTGAAAATGTTATTGACAAAGTTGGTAAAAAATCTTGTGAACTTGATCCAGTGCCCGCAAAAATCTTTCAAGGTTGTCGGAAGACTCTCTTACCTATAATTACTAAGATCAGTAATGAGTCACTTCAGTCAGGTTGTATGCCTGAGATACTAAAAGAAGCCGTGTTGAAACCAAAACTAAAGAAAGATTCGCTGGATTACGAAGAATACACAAATTTCCGACCTATTTTAAATTTAAAATTCCTGTCTAAAGTAATTGAGAAGGTTGCTGCCGGTCAGCTTCTGGAACACTTGGCCAATATCAAATTAGAAGAACCCTTCCAGTCGGCATATAAACATTTTCATAGTGCAGAAACAACCTATTAAAAGTACAAAACGATATTCTTGTAGCCATTGATAATCGTAAGTGTGTGGTGTTGCTATTACTAGATATGTCAGCAGCATTCAATACTGTTGATCACGAACTTTTACTACAACGAATGTTCAAAAGATTTGGGATAGATGGGCAAGTGTTGAGATGGTTTCGGTCCTATCTTCAGAATAGAACGCAAAGTGTAGTGATTGACGGTGTTAAATCTATCTCTAAAGACTTGCGCTGTGGAGTCCCACAAGGATCAGTTCTCGGCCCTATACTATATTTACTATACACTTCACCCCTTGGTGATATCATCAGAGGTCATGATCTTGATTTTCACTTTTATGCAGACGACTCGCAATTATATCTCGCTTTTGAGTCAACCACTGAAGGAAAAGCGGGAGCACTGGTACAAATCGAAATGTGTGTAAGGGAGATTGATTTGTGGATGGTCAAAAATAAATTAAAATTGAATGGGGACAAGACTGAGTTACTAGTAATCAATGAACGAAATCGTTTATGCCCTGCTGTACACCATATAGAAATATCTAAGTCAATAGTTCAACCAAGTACTTCAGCACGAAACATCGGTGTAACCTTCGATCAACACATGTCCATGGATAAACATATTACCAACATTTGCAAGAACTGTTTTTCCATTTGAGAAAAATAGCAAGAATAAAAGAGTACTTATCAAAATCAGATATCCAAACCCTAGTTCATGCCTTTATTACATCGAAACTAGATAATTGCAACTCTTTGCTATACGGACTACCTAAATTTCTTATAGATCGATTACAGAATGTGCAAAACTGTGCTGCTCGTCTGGTGACAGGAAGCAGAAAATACGACCATGTTACACCATTAATGAAACAATTACATTGGCTCCCCATCAGTCAACGCATCATCTATAAAATTGTTCTTATCACGTATAAATCTCTGAATGGCTCAGCTCCACATTACATCAATAATATGCTAAAACCTTACACACCATCAGCAAATTTACGCTCCTCATCCAAAGGATTGCTTACCATACCTTCAGTAAAACTAGTGAACTATGGCGAACGATCGTTCTCATATGCTGCACCGAAACTGTGGAACGAACTGCCAGAGTATATTAGAAAGAGTGAGACCTTGCCTATTTTTAAAACCAGATTAAAGACACATCTTTTTAAACAGTATTATGACTAAGTTATTATTTTAACAAGATTATTAGCAATTTTATAGTATTCTATATAGTTCTTGTTATAATATTATCAACATACATAACATAAAGTAATTTTATATTCTTAACGAGAAGAGCATATAATTATTTTTTAGTAATTTTATAGTATAGTAATTTTAGAAGTTAATGCATGCACTATGTTCTAACACTTAGTATATATTTTTAACACTTGATGTTAAGCGCTATTGAGCTATGGGAAATGGCGCTATATAAATGAATTATAATAATAATAATAATAATAATTAAAAGTTGTTTAAAACGATCAGCGCATATAAGATATAATAATTAGATTATTTAGAAATGTGTTAACGTAACTGTTAATATATACCCTATAAAAAAATTCTAAAATCATTAAAAAGAAACTTATTTAAAAATGATTGTTCAAAACGTTCTATGTAAACTTTTGGCAACATAAATTGATGATCGTGTTCTTCTTTAGACATGTGTTGTAGGGATTCCAATTTCTGTTCATGTGGATGATGATAGCAATTTTTCACTAAATTCATGCAACGATCATGTGAGAGGTAAAACAAACACTCTGCGTGGGCGGGGAATCGAACCCCGGTCTCCCGCGTGGCAGGCGAGAATTCTACCACTGCACCGCCAACGCGATATACTGCACAGTCATTTCTTCGCAATTTTTACTATTTCGCTGTGGATTTAAACACCACCAAGTAATTTTTAGAACTGGTACACTCGTCGTCAGCAATTACTCATTCTGATCTTCTTTAGCTACGTTATTTGCGGCAGTGCAAATTGAAATGATGGACGTAGCAAAACGTCAACAGCACGAGGGCACAATTCTTAGAATGTAAGCACGGAATAAAATTTTCCCAAGCCGGGAATTGAACCCGGGCCATGTCGGTGAGAGCGCCAGATCCTAACCACTTGATCACATGGGAATTCGATCGACCAACATTCCAACCACCACTAAATGTAAAAGGCTTCTCTATTCTGATATCGAACATTTCCAAGAAAATTCCTAAGGTTCGTCATCACTTTGAAGTGACTTGAACACTTAGCTTTCTGATCTGGAGTCAGACGCGCTACCAGTTTCGCCACAAGGCCATCGTTAAAAAGATTTTCCAGTTGAATATCCACGATGCAGTCGTCGAAACAAAAGTCATCGAATCTCCTAAAAAGCATTCCCATGCCTGGAATCGAACCCGGGCCATGGCGGTGAAAACGTCAGATCCTAACCACTAGACCACATGGGACATTCATTCATTCGTACGTCTTTATTAAAATCTATCTTAAATATTGGAGTTGCAACAAACGTGCAACTTTACAGTACATATAACATATAATGACATTATTTGCAAATGTGTTAACGTTACAGTTAATATATACCATAAAACCAAGTTTTAAAAGTCATTAAAAGTTGTTTAAAACGATCAGTGCATATAAGATAAAATAATTAGATTATTTAGAAATATGTTCACGTTATTGTTATAACATATACCGTATAAAAAAATTCTAAAAGTCATTAAGAACACACTTATTTAAAAATCATTGTTTAAAACGTTCTGTGTAAACTTTTGGGAACATAAATTGATCATCACGTTCTTCTTTAGACATGTGTTGGAAGGATTCCAATTTCTGTCCATGTGCATGATGATAGCAATTTTTCACTAAATTCATGAAACCATCATGCGAGAGGTAAAATACTCTGCATTGGCGGGGAATCGAACCCCGGTCTCCCGCGTGGCAGGCGAGAATTCTGCCACTGAACCACCAACGCCATATACTGCACAGTCATTTCTTCGCAATTTTTACTATTTCGCTGTGCATTTAAACACCACCAAGTTATTTTTGGAACTGGTACACACGTCGTCAGTAATTACTCATTGTGATCTTCTTTAGCTACGTTGTTTCCGGCACCGCAAATTGAAATGGTGACATAGCAAACGGTCAACAGCACAAGCGCACAATTCTTAGTAAGGCATTCCCTGTGCAACTTTACAGTACATATAAGATATAATTACATTATTTACAAATGTGTTAACGTTACAGTTAATATATACAGTAAAACCAAGTTTTAAAAGTCATTAAAAGTTGTTTAAAACGATCAGTGCATATAAGATAAAATAATTAGATTATTTAGAAATATGTTAACGTTATTGTTATAATATATACCGTATAAAAAAATTCTAAAAGTCATTAAATTTTTAAACAGACACTTATTTAAAAATGATTGTTTAAAACGTTCTTTGTAAACTTTTGGCAAGATAAATTGATCATCACGTTCTTCTTTAGACATGTGTTGGAGGGATTCCAATTTCTGTCCATGTGCATGATGATAGCAATTATTCACTAAATTCATGAAACCATCATGCGGGAGGTAAAATACTCTGCGTTGGCGGGGAATCGAACCCCGGTCTCCCGCGTGGCAGGCGAGAATTCTACCACTGAACCACCAACGCCATATACTGCACAGTCATTTCTTCGCAAGTTTTACTATTTCGCTGTGGATTTAAACACCACCAAGTTATTTTTGGAACTGGTACACACGTCGTCAGTAATTACTCATTGTGAACTTCTTAGCTACGTTGTTTGCGGCACTGCAAATTAAACTGATGGACGTAGCAAAACGTCAACAGCACGAGGGCACAATTCTTAGAATGTAAGCACGGAATAAAAGGCATTTTCTGTACAGAATTTGAATTTCCCCATGCTGGGAATTGAACCCGGGCCATGGCGGTGAGAGCGCCAGATCCTAACCACTAGACCACATGGGAATTCGATCGACCAACATTGCAACCACCAATAAGTGTAAAAGGCGCCTTCTCTATTCTGATATCGGACATTTTTGAGAAAATTCCTAAGGTTCGTGATGACCTTGAAGTGACTTGAACACTTAACCTTCTGATCTGGAGTCAGACGCGCTACCAGTTGCGCCACAAGGCCATCGCTAAAAAGATTTTGCAGTTGAATATCCACGATGCAGTCGTCGAAACAAAAGTCATCGAATATCCTAAAATGCATTCCCATGCCGGGGATCGAACCCGGGCCATGGCGGTGAAAACGCCAGATCCTAACCACTAGACCACATGGGACATTCATTCATTCGTAAGTCTTTATTAAAATCTATCATAAATATTGGAGTTGCAACAAACGTGCAACTTTACTGTACATATAAGCATAGGCGTACCGGGCGGGGGGGGCGGGGGGGGCGGTAGCCCCGCCAGTTTTTTGGGCAGTCGGGCAATATTCGATGAACAGTCGGGCAATTTTGGTTTGCAATAAAAAAAAATGGGACAAATTCTGTCAATTTTGTCTAAAATTAAGTCAATTTTTTTGCAAATTTTGTGATTTTTCGAAAATTTGTGTTATGTTCCGAAAAATATTGGTTGTCCGGAATAAATTTTTGACCCCTAAAATGGTACACAGACCGAAATTTTTTTGGCGACGGGGGGGGGGGAGGTGGCCAAAATAATTTTTCCGAAAAAATTTTTTTGGTACTAGTCGGGCAAAATCCCGAAAAGTCGGGCAATTTTCTTTCCGCCCCCCTAATTTTTTCCTTCCGGTGCGCCCATGCATATAAGATATAATTACATTATTTACAAATGTGATAACGTTACAGTTAATATATACAGTAAAACCAAGTTTTAAAAATCATTAAGATTGTTTAAAACGATCAGTGCATATAAGATAAAATTATTAGATTATTTAGAAATATGTTAACGTTATTGTTATAACATATACCGTATAAAAAAATTCTAAAAGTCATTAAAAACACACTTATTTAAAAATGATTGTTTAAAACGTTCTGTGTAAGCTTTTGGCAACATAAATTGATCATCCCGTTCTTCTTTAGACATGTGTTGGAGGGATTCCAATTTCTGTCCATGTGGATGATGATAGCAATTTTTCACTAAATTCATGAAACCATCATGCGAGAGGTAAAATACTCTGCGTTGG